GAGGACTTTGTCGAAGATCTCACTGGCGCGACTCTGACCCACTATTGAGGCAATCACCTCTCGCCCTATGTGCAGTTCGTCGTCTTCGTTTTCTTGTAAGTTCTAAAGAATAAGCAAAAAACATGATTAGGTTCATCGAAGCTTGATCACACAATTAAAGTCTTGAGGGTTGAAGACGCAAGTAAATTCGTACTCACAAACACCATCCAATCCAATCGAGTTGGTTATTATTTGCCATTCATTTGGGGTGGTGTTAAAAGGGACTTTGAAGTGTGATGAGAGTAATTTTTTTATGCAAGGAAAACAGATCCATGCAGATATTAGAGGTCAAACAAACATCCTATTTTTTGTCACCATTTGAAGGCTTAAAACTCCGGTGAAACATTAGCGTTGTCAACCCCTCCAATTTCTGCAGACACAATCAACCTCAATTTATTTCTTTTGCCATGACAACGACTGTAGCAATGGTCACCTCCTGTGGCAACGTATTTGCGGACTCATATAGACATGCGTATTTACATCCCATACGGTTCGGAGGTACTATGATTACTCAAGACGCGGCTATAACAAACACGTTGTCTCTGAACCAAAGCCCCGAGCACTTCAACTAAGAGATGGGTGTTTGCCTCTTGCATGCAAGTGCTGAGCTAGCCTCGTAGAATTGTCTCCCAAAATGTTTGCGTAGACAATTTGATTTGGAACTCAGTGAATGATGTGGGAGGTCATCAGCTGCACCACCAAATTTCGCCCTTAGTCCTTCCTCCTGAACCGCTGCTCACCTGTCTGTCAGATTATGAAGGGACTAAAACGTTTGCACTTAACGTGGTTATAGTTTTCCTTCAGAGAAATGTTGCCAAACGGTGAGAGGACAAGTTAGAAGGTAGGAATTTTGATCGTCAACGGTACACTTTTTAAAATTTCGACAATTCAAGCGGTATCAAAGGTACCATTTAGCTATTAAATTAGAGGCGATTGTCGAGCGACTCTTCCAGTATTCCATTTCTTACGCAATGGCCGCCATACCACAACCTCTGAGCGATGACAGCAATAAAACATGAACATCGTTACTCGTTAACTATCAACAGAGAAATGGAGAAGATAAAGGTCAGGAAGAAGCGACTTCACCCTCGTCTTCTCCTACAACACCACAACGGAGACCTTGCTTTTCATCCTACATTTCTGCAACCAAGATCAACACACTTGTCAAGCGAAGAGGCTCTAAACACAGCTTTTACCTTTAACCATTAGTTCATGATATGATTGTGGTTTCCAAATGGGACACCGTACCGCGACTTTAAAAGGCCTATCAAATTAAGAGAAGAAACGATATGGACTTTTTCAAATGGATTTTTGGTCGTTCCTGCATTACGACTATTTTCAATAGTACTGAAAGACTATGCTTTGAAAGGCTGCCATAAATTTAAGCAAAAGTGGGCGAGGGAGGGCTGTGGGGCGTAGTAATGAGAGTATCAGTACTAAAATGGCTTAACAATGTGCTAATCCACCAACCTGAACAACGTTGTAGCATTTGATGAGTGTGTCGAGGTCTAACGTCTTCTCCAGAGACATTCTTATCTGTTCTGCAATAAAGAATCGACTGGGATGTTTTTCATCTGTTAACTCGGATACAAGTTTTGAGTCCTCGGCGAAATCTGCATGCTCCTCCCCCTCGACCTCAAGGAGCTGAAGTAGAACAGAGTGGAAGGTTAGCGTTTTCTCGACGTCTGAAGTCACAGGCGTCGGTGTTTGGTGCAGTGATTGAGGCGTTTCTCTGGTCGTTGTAAAACCCGAATCCGTAGTTGTTGAGACTGGTTGTTGAGAGGGTGAAGAAACGAATTGCGCAGGATCTGGAAGGTGATGTACACAAGACCTCGAGCATATCGACTGTCGTGTTGACTTCTAGGTCCTACATATTTTAGATTGGCCCCTATCTGTGTTTATGGCCTTTCAGCCCTCCACTGCATCATTTGCGAAGCTTTCTCCATTCCAACATGGCTTATAAGTCCCTGGAGAAGACTAAGATATGTACATATATGTAAGATTGGAAGATGTGTGTGAGTTTCGGCTCTTTGTTCGTACCTGACTCGGAGTTTAGTCAAGTGGAAACTAATTGAGGCGTACCTCTGCGTTCCTCCCATAAATCCTCACTAATCTCAGTGGATTCTGCGTGGCTTAGAGTTCCATTTGCTTCTTCGAACAGGGAATACCAACTTGAGGGGATAGCAGGCGCAAAAGTAGTCACCAAAGCAAGATCTCCTCTGCATGTGCTCACTGACGGCTGTGATTGGGATCGGTGTAGGGTTTGGGTT